CACACACAATGCAAGTTCCTCTTTCACAAAAAGCAAATAACTAGGAACTAATCTTGAATAAACTGTGAAAACTTCCAAAGATTTTTTAAATTAAAGAATGTCGTCTTTGCTCTCCAGTGGACGCCACTGACCTGTGGGACGCCCTGTCAGAAAGGACTGAATGAAAATTCATTAATCCAAGTAAAATCAAAATCAAGACCACATACTCTACAATGGCCCAAATGTATCTGAATGACTCACTGAGTGTTCATTGTACAACACTTGTCTGCTTTTAACCACTACTGCACATTAAGGAAATAAAAAAAAATTGCTGAGCACTAAAAAAAAAAAAACAGCGCTCACTGAAAATGAGAGTGTGGTTAATTTAGTTTAAGACATGAAACACTTTCACAGGAAATTGCTTTGCCAAAACTGAAAATACACAAAACTCAAGAGTTAACAAGGATCTGTGAACAGGCTGAAGAGAGGTTAACTAACAAGCATTTCAAATAATTTATTAGACCATCTTTCACTAATTAAAAATAAAACAAATCATAATTTACACACATAACAAACCCAGTCAGCACACAGATGTTTTCTTGAGCAATGCATTTTCTTGCAATTTATGTAGATGGGTATGACCTGAAATATATACTTGACATGACCTAAACTCCATCTAAAACAGCATTTTGTTAATTCATGCATAATTATACGTACATGCAGTTTTAATAAACTCACATAAATTGAGAGATTACATGGAATAACCACCCTTCCGTATAATTAATTTGTCACACCACACTGAGCATTTGAGCATTTAACATGAACATTAAGGCAAAAAAGTGATAAAAATGCTAAATATGTCAAAGTAAGCACCTGAATTATAGATTCATATAATTTTTTATCTACATTCTTGATCATTAAAACAATATTCTAGAATATCCTAAATATTATCTATGGGCATTAACAGAATTGTTGAACTGTTATCTGTAAAATACAGTGCTGTGAAAAGGTTTTTGCCTCCTTCCTGTTTTTTTTTTTTTTT